GCCACACTGCTCTTCTTGAATCTTGACGTCAACTATTTCACTTCACCTCCTTTCTAACACCTTTGCGTAGAGTTTACCTGGGAGGCTCAATAACGTTATGCCCCTATAATTGGAGCATTCCTTGTGATCTCCATTCTTGAATACGGGTACAATAACACCCGTTCTCCAGTCCGCTGGTGTCTTTCCCGCAGTCATCGCAGTTTGACAGATACGTGTCGCCAGCACTTTTTGTTCGCCTAGTGCCTTGAGCATCTAAGGGAGGATTTCATCAATTTCAGCAGCTTTTCCATTTTTCAAGCTTTTCACAGCCTGTACAATTTCGTCTACAGAGATAGTAATATTCGCACCCTTCTGCTCCACAGGCGAGTCTTAGGCGGCTGCTCTTACTTTGCGGCTGCGCGCGGTTAAGGAGTTCCTCAGAGGCTTTTGCCACTGCTATGGCTGCCGCCTTACGTGCCTCGACATATCGCACGCGTGTAGAAGGCTCTTTGATTCCAAGCCATTTCTTGAATGCTGCTTTCTTCTCTTTAACTGCCAGTTGCACCTCTCGCGCCCACCATAAAGATCTGTTCTGACTTCCAGGCGGCAGGCCAACCCGTTTAACTGGGCAGCATTCGGCAGCAGCATCGACTATGCCGCTCTTAAAGAGCTGCCACTTTATTTCCACGACACCAGTCATCACTGGAATGAGTTCGAACCATCGTGCGATGTTGTTTCCAAATTTCGCTCTCGTGTCCACTGAAGATAATGTTTCTCATTTGATTCTCCGGTTGCTTCTGTCACCAGATCTTCGTATAGTACTCCATTTCTTACAGCGCAGCGCGCGAACAACAAGGTGATGATCGGTTGATAGCTCTGCGCCTCTTTTAACACGAACATCCATTACTGAGCGTCTTAAGTCAGACGATACGACTATTAAATCGATCATGTACTTCTGTGCACAAGCTTCCCAGTACCAGGTATACCTATGCGCTCTTCGATGCTCGAAGAAGGTGTTCATAATGGATAGTCCGCTGTTTGCGCAAACCTGCAACAACTCCTTGCCGTTATGGCCGCGTTTCCACTTTACACCGTCTACTTCAGAATGCACATTAGAATGGTCTATGAAAATGAGGTATTCTGCATGCGACACTTTGTACAGAGCACACAGCACTTCTTCAAAGAAGGAATCACGTTCCCTCTAAAAATTGGTCACGTAGATCTGTAACAAGGTCAACGTCTTTAACCTGTGATATCTTCAGTCGGAAGATTGCCAGTCTTCCGCTGAGAGGCTCCCATTCAACGATTCTACCAGCCGGGTTGGATTCCACAACGACACCAACACTGGCCTGAGCGCACTTCGTCGACACCTGAGTAAAATAGCTTCCAGCCGCTGAGGTCCAGGATTCCAGAGCCTTGGCGCTTCGTTGACGAGAGTCCAACAATGTCGAGTTGGTACTTTATGGCCTAATCAACCACCTCTTGCTCTTTCCCTCTGTGTGAGGACATATTCCAACTTCCAATTGTAAACTCCCACTGGCAATGTTGTCTTCGTAGGGCCTTTTCAGACGTGCTATAATCTCATCACGTTTCTGCCTCTTTCTTTGACAACCGTTAACCACTTTTTGCTGATTGATGTCTTCTTCTCCGTTTCATTGACTTTGGTCAGCCGTTGTTGTGCTTCTATGATCCTGGCTGGCAGAGGGCAATGAGCAGGTTCTGATCGCCGACTTTTCGCAGTCTGCCTCAGTCCCCCAACA